TCCTCTGTAAATCATACTTTTCCTTTAACAATAAAGTCGTACCGGTGATCTATTAACTGCTTTCATAGGAGAAGGTTTTAATTGAAATAATGTGACTTCTAATTTTCTTTGGAGGTTCGTATATAGTTAATCGGAGCCTCTTGCCCGTAATGTTTTCACATCTTTCTCAAATTTCCGCTATGTAACTCCGTTCTTGAGATTAAGGAAGGACAGACAAACGGGCGATAGTGGTAATACAACAAGAACATTTGTATGCATTTACCAAGAGCCTACAATTTTAAAATTAAATATAATATGTGTTAAAACAAAATTACGCGAAAACATTTATTATTTCTACAATTAGAATTTCGTCTTTAGGATGGAAGATATTATGTGATCTTGAAGGGTTGCATGATATACTATAACTATAGATTGGATAAGGGACCTGAAGGACCGGCCGGTAGAACCTCAAAACAGATGCTTATAACTCTTGACTGGGGCATATCATTGGGTTCTTGGTTGATTACGATTGCAGCTTACATCCTTCTAATATATAGGCTATAATATAGCGAAATTGAAAAAGAGGGATACGTTTTCAAAATGGCGGATTGTCGTGGATGCGCGTGTATCTGACAGATGCCATCGTTTTTTTGGTAAACAGTGGGAGTCTGCTAGAAATTTGTAGTTCAGTACTTGAACTTCAATATTTTGGAATATCGAATGACATAAAATTATAATTAATGGGTTCAGTGTGTTCTATGTTAATGAAGAATCGTGTTTAATCAGTTTTTTTCTCTCAAGCAGCATTAAAAATTAGAACAAATAGCCTGTATTACCGCTACCAGGCAGCGGGACCTACTGGAGAAATCCTACTTCATCCGAATTATCCTTAAAGTTTGTGTTAAATTATTGTTAAGTAATGTTTGTGTTAAATTATTTGAATAGGTACAATATTTAAAATCCGAAAAAAATAAAAATAAAATGTAGAAGAAAATTAGCAGAAAATAACTGTTTAGAGGATTAAACTTTGGAGGAAGAATTAAAGATTGGAGAAATGAAACAAATAAAAGATTCCAAGATTATTGCAATAATCTTTGAAAATAAAACCAAACAAATGTAAGGAAAATAAATAGGTTGATAGACTGAAGAAAAGGACTGAGAAAGCTTTAGAAAAACAGAAAAATCTTCCAACACGTGTTCTCACTTCAGTTGGCTGGCAGCTTTTGAAGTTTACCTTTCACTTCTTATATATTTACTAGGAACTTCGTCCCTCGGTCGTTTCTTTCGTTCGCCATATGGACTTTGCTTACCTGTTCAAAAATTTCAGATCGTTTCATTTGTTTCCGGTGCTGCCGTTTCTATTACATATATATATTTCGTCTCGATATATATATATATTGAGACGAAATATATATATGTAATAGAATATGTGGGCCTTAAGGGGTATGCATAATAGGAGCTAACTCCCATTATACATACCCCTTAACGCCCACATATTTTATACATAGAGCACGTCATTCTGAAGTGCGTATAATCCACTTTTGCTTAATTTTCAGCATTCAATAGTCTCTTAGAGAATCCCCATATCGATAGACTGACGTCTTAACCTCCTCGACCATCCAACCGTTATCACTAAAATACTACAGTCCATCGATTTAAAGAAATCCCTATTTTTAACGAACAAAAAATTTCTGCCCTAAAGAAACCGTTAGAACTTTTATTTCATTCGTAAATAGAACACGCTAAAGTTCGAGACATGAACAATGAATATAAACTGCTCAATGTACTGTACAGTACAATATAATAGGGCTAATACGTTATTTACACTTTCACATTATAATAACACTTTCATACATCCTGTAATTGTAAATTCTTTATTAATATGACCTCAGATGTCCGATAAAACCATTAAAAAGCACTGTCAAGTCGCTTAAAATAAGAAGTTTAGCTTTATTGTGTTTAAAAATTAAATCGAGTTTTTAAAACAACAATTTTATCAGAGATTAATGCGTTTAGGTAATCATAAAAAATATCCCGATCACACGAATGGCAATTGAATTGTTTTACCATTTTCTTAAGCGATCGGAGATTTCAATCTTGAGAACATTTTTATTTTTCCATTAAAAGTCATCAATCTTACGTTTTGTTTTCATTAACAGAAACTGCTCGAGATTGTTTTTTGAATACCCCGTGACAAAGAAAACAATTTGTATTGCTCGTATTTCTTTAACACCAGGAAATAAATCACAACACAATGATTCAAAGGTTTAAGCGAATATCATTTATCCATGAGTTGATTGCATTGATTTATTTGAAATTTATCTCAGCTTTTATATATTTAGTGTTTACTTTGTTACTTTCCCGGCTGTTATATATATATAACAAAATATAGAATTAAAAAATGCCCCCCAAAATATTTACATTTTTGGACTCGGAAGACTTTGAAACGTCGAGAAATGCCAAAAATTTGGGTGTTTTTTCTGGATGTACGATGTTTGTGGAGGGCACGATTTTGTTCGTCAAATTTGAAGCTTAACTTCTATGCCTTTTGCCGAAAATTTCTGAAATTCTGCAAAGAGGTTTGTATATAAGGGGCATTGGTACTATTAAATTTTGATGATTAATTAACGTGACTCCCCCTCTATTTCCTCATTCGAGGGAGTGAGAAATAGAAGGGGAGTTACGTTTCGTATCTGGAATGATCGGACTTAATGATTTCACTTGTTATTAGCATTTATATTTCATTTTATAAAGCTCATCTTTTCCTCGAAATTACTTTTTATCATTTTATAATAATTAATAATATAAAAAATTTTTAAAAAATAAAAACCTTGTAAAAAATGGCGCTACACACAATTTTAACTTTTTTTGCGGGAAAGTTATACAACTTGTTACTGGATTTTTCTTAGATTTTACCGATTTCTATCCTATTTAATATCCTGAAACTGTGTTGAAACTATAAAAGCTGCTTCACCGAATTTATTCATTATTCAGATGTCGCTTTAGTTAAACTAATCAGCACATTCTATACTTTTCGCTTAATATGCCAGATAATGTGTAAATTGATTATTTCCATAGATAGACTATAACTATTTTAAATTGACTGTCCGCCCTATGGGAAATGAGAGGGTTTTTTTCCATATCCATTGTAGATTTGACAGACCCGCAATGGAGTAGACTGGTTGGTGACGAATGGGGCCCGATGTATCCAGAATAGAACGCTAGAACGCTTAAAGTTTTTAGGGTCCACCATCCTAACGTCAGATGGGAATACGTTTCCGCATCCTTGCGTACGATGAAAATGTATTTCCATCAGACGTGTGTGGTTTCAACAGGATGGGTCGACGGTCCACACAGAACATCAATTGGCGTTATTCATCGTCTCTTCACCTCATTTCCAGGTTCGAAGACGTTTATTAGCGAGGTTGCGGCCGAAGTTTTCAACGCGAAAACGTGAACATCGGACATTCAGCGCCGCCATCCTGTAAGCCTAGAAGTTTGACGATGGTGTTTGGAACGTCAGTGGAATCATGCTCGACGTTCCAAACACCATCGTCAAACTTCTAGGCTTACAGGATGGCAGCGCTGAATGTCCGATGTTCACGTTTTCGCGTTGAAAACTTCGGCCGCAACCTTGCTATTGGCCTCTTCGTTCGCCCGACCTATCCATGTGCAATTATTTTTTGTAAGGACACCTTAAGACACGTGTATATGAGCATAAGCCCGTTCTTTGCAAGAACTGAAGGAAGCTATTCGCGTAGAAGTTGCCAAAATTGCCTCCAGAAATGCATCACTGATAACAGACACCACATAGATGTTTTCTACAGTTGATTCTGTAAAATGCAATTTCAATACGAACTCACATGTTCCAACAAATATCTTTTGTAGTAACAATTACAGATGTTGTGATTCTTTAAAAAACGTCCGTCCTTTCTGGCCCACCCTGTGTCGTTCCTACTGATTTTCCTAATAGGTCATAATTTTTAATTAAACAACAGAAAAACAATTTTCATTTACGTTGACAATAAGCATAGACTTAAATATAATCAGACGGAATACGTAAAAACAATTAAATATATTGGATTAAATTGTAATTCCCCGTAAAACCCGTTTAATTGAAGGATTGTAAGACTGATGGAATAACATGCGCGATCTGTCAAGAGGACTTTTATGGGAAGATGATCCCTATTTAGCTGCTAGGCTGGTAGAGTAAATCCAAAAAATTCCACGTGGATGAACCCGCGACCAGATTTTATCTACTCATCCACTGGCGAGCACCCATAGTTTGAACATTTGTACTTTATTATTATAAAATTCTTTATCGGGTAAGAACATATTAAAATAGCTAATGATAATTTGATTCTTCTATTGTATTTATTGATACTCTTTTCTTCACTATTAACACCAATTAAAGCCTTTTGGGATACCTGAAACTTACATAATTTACAATTTTAAAACTCAAATAAAATAGGATATTGTCTCAATTCGTATGTAGTTCTACTGTTCAAAATGAGCTTATTTATTTACAATTAATACAGCATTAATGTTAGTCACAAAGCTATAAATTACTCTTATATTGTTTTAGTTTGTAGAAGAATACATATTAAGTGAAGTTTGTTCATTATTTACAGTCTTAAAATTAACTGTATATTAATTAAATTAAAAAGTTATATATTTAACTGTTAAGATTAATAAAAATTAATGTTTGTTTTATTGTACTAAAATTTAAAGTAGAAAAACTATAATTTTATTGAGATGTTCTTTTTTGGAATCAAAATAAGTTAAGTTTTCAAAAATTTATTCCACAGGGAATATTTTAAATATCTTTAATTTTATTTATTTAGCATTTAAAAATCATTAAAAATCAATTTTCATATAACAACATAATAAAACAAATTTTAGTTCAATATAAATTATCACACAGGTGGACTTAAATAGACTGGAATAATTTTTATTGAAAACTGTTATCTTGACTAAAATCTTTAAATAATTCTTTGCATATATTTCTTTATAAAAATATTTTTATAAGAAAATACTGAATTACACTTCAACTTCAGATATTTACAGAGATATTAATAATTATAGATGATATTTACATAAACAATCATGTTTACAAGATTTAATGTAATATGCATGTAACTAGAGCAAATAATTACAAATAGATGTAAACAATGACAATTTTAATGGTGAGCCATTATTAAAAGTGTTACAAAGTCTTAATATTTTTTTCATATGATGATTTTCACAAGCACAATATATATATATTTATATAAACATTGATAGCATCTAGATAATATTTTACAGTTTTTGTGTAGCATTTCTATTCAGTCGAAACGAGACACGTCGCCAAGATATTCACAGATGTTGTCATAATTTAATTTCACTACAGTCTCTCTATCACTAAGTAATTGTACAGTCGCCACACAATTTGGTTTATCTCGTTTCAGTATGACACCAACCTGTAGAAAAAAAGAACAAAATTATTTCGCAGTTGAAATTAAATAATAAACTCTTAATTAACATTTTTTTAAACTGAAAATTTTATGATTTACTTTTTCATTTGAAAAACATAACTTAAAAAAGCTAACTTAGAAATTGGCTCAGTATAAATTATCTATAATAAACTGTTATATATTTTAATTGCCATATTAAACACATTTATTTAAAAGATGTTCTCATTCACAATTTTTTACGACTTATTATTTGAATGTTTAAAAAAGATTTCATTTTTATTATTATTTTAAATTTTAGCAGACGAAATTTCTAACGGTAACAATAATTTGATAAATATCATACATAATTATAAAATTATTATATAATGAAAACTATTGAAACTTTTTAGATCCTGAAGAATGAGACCATCACATTATTTCAGCATATGAAGTAAATTCAATGCATTACAAGAGGAAAAACCATGTGGTTTAGATCTCTCTTAAAATGTCTAATGGATTAAAAAAGTAATCCTAGCAATACATATTCAACAACAAGGAGATCCAAAAATATAATCTGTTTAAAAGCAAGGACATTCTAAACTAAGTAAAACAGTATTATAAATTTATTAGTTTACCAATAAACTCAAACTAATTTCTCAAAATAGAATATCTTAGTTATCTATCATTCAATTCCTGTAATGCATAAAATAAACATTAAATTAATTAAACCCAATTATGTTGCAGAAAATTGAGTTGGATCAACTTCTAAATCTTGTGCTGATCAAATTAGAAATTTTCTAACATTAATCAGCAGAAGACTTACAAACATATTTTTTACACAACAAATCAGACAATTGTTCTGTATACAATATACAATAATTTTTCCAATAATGGTTTAGAGAACTGATATTTATGTTTTATAATATGTAATTAAACAACACATGAATATCACAGACAGTAATGAAACATTACACTTTTGAACAAAATAGCCATGTCTTGTTCAAAGGAATAACATTTAGTGAATGAGTTGAGAATATAATGTTGCAGAAAATTAACAGCTAATAGCATGCAATAAAAAAATAATAAAGAATAGTTAAGGAAATATTTTTTAAAGACAACAATTAAGTCTTCCTGAGATTGAAGGGAATCATTCTTTTGTGACCAAAGATCAAAATGAAACTGTTCCTGTGATATAATGAAAACTCATCCAGCATCACCACTCATTCTAGTTCTTATTAAAAATACTGGAATCAGAATGGGTAGATGGTGCCCCATAAGCCATAACTTCATTTTGAAAATTTTCAGATTTCATTCTGGTTCCTATTAAAACTCTTGGAACCAGAATGAAATCTGAAATGAAATGAAATCTGATTTCTCTTTCTGAAGTAACAAAAGAGAAAGTATGGTCTTTAATTTACAAAACACTAACGTTAATTTCCTATAAATAATTTAAAAGATCATTTCTGCTCCAAATCCCAGCTGACATTCTGATATTATGATTGCACCCCATTAAGAAATGTGATGGATAGAAGAAAATTTCATCATAAACCAAAATTTGCTATATGAAATAAGTTAAGAATTATAAAGAAAGTCAAGAAAATACAGGTTCTTTCTTCCTATATTCTTCATAATTTGATTATTTAAAAACTCAAAATTTCTGTAACAGCTTTATTAATATATTATGTCATTGCAAATTTAATTTAAGAGAACATGACTAAATATTTCATTAAAAAATTTCTGGAATTTTGTCTCAATCTGATCTTTTTTTGTGTAAAAACTAATTAAATTCATTTTTATAATCAGTAAAATTTTAATTAAACAAATAAATTTAAAAAATTGAACATTGGAATATATAAAAAAAAAAAAAAAACTATGGTCAGTTCTACAACCAGTTTAAAAATTATTTTTTTTAGATTTAATGTAAATTTCTGTGTGCCAAATAATGTCTTTCTCTTTTTTTATGCCTTTTCTGTGTATATCACATACAGTAAATCTGAATATTCAACATAGTATGGATTTCTTACTTCTCTAATTTAGAAAATCAATCTCAATTAATTATTAGCAAAAGATGTTTTCCTCTCCATTCTATCTTTTCTTTATTCCTTAATGCATTCTTCTATTTTGGTTTGTATTTAATATATGAATGGTAATATTAAAATGAGAGTCAAATGATGATTTTATCAAGCATGTCACATGTTCCATAATATTGCTGTATACCATATAATATATCAGCCTTATGCTTGAAGCAACTTAACATTTCATGTCTATATTGTAATGCTTTTCAAATTGTGATCACTATTATTTATATAGTATATAGAGTATTTTTTTTCAATATATTCAGCATTGTACAGTGAAGCATCAAAAAATCTGGACTAAATGGGCTCAGAACCATCTGGATTTACAAATATATGTGTAAATTAGCACATTAAGAACTATAAACTACAGAGAAATTCAAGTTTAGGTATTCAAACTAGTATTTCACAAAAAAATGTAGGAATACTTACAAATATTCAAAATATACAAGTAATTTACAGAATTACTATATTTAAACAAAAAAAAATCTAAAAAACTAATCATAATCTTAATTTTGAGATTATTACATAGTACATTTAATAAGATTAAAACATTAAGAATTTTGACTGAATGTTTGCACACCAACAATGCAAGGCTAAAAGAATAAAAGCTGAAAGACCATCAACTAAGTTACCATTGAAAAAGTAAAAATCCATTTTTTGACAACCAAATCTGGAATTTTGATGGTCCACTGTATTTCTAATTAGCCTGCTATAATTAAAAAATATAATGCATTATAATAAACAGGAACAAATTTTGAACATACTGTCTATCTATAATTATATTACATTCATTTTCTATCAAATTTAGTATGGAAAAAGCACAGAAATTTCTTGGGATAGTCTATCCTAGATACACCAGGCCTTCTTCATCACAGAGAAATTCAAATTTACTTATTCATTGTTGTCCTGATGGACTTGAAAAAAAGGTCTTGATGTTTGATATATTATTATTATAGTAATACATTAATAAATTTTACCTGTCCTTTATGCCTGCCTTGTACTATCATAACATAACTATTTTCTGATCTTGGTACCACTGTTTCCAACATTGAGTAATGTACATCTGAAATAAAAATAAACCCAATTAAAACTAATATTTAAAAATTACTGTATGCAAAAACATATAAAATAAACTCTGAGATGTATAATTAATGTGTGTTCATTAGCTCATTCAATCATTGAAATATAATATTCTATAAATCTACATTTTACAAACTTTCAGTTATTTTCTGTATTATTAATTTTACGAAATATATATATATTAAAACAATCATTAATTCATTATGCAATTTGTAAGAATTAAAAAATATATAAAATTTTTAAAATAGTTTTTTTAATGATGTAAGAGGGGAAAAACAAAAGCTTTGAACTATACATGTAAGATGATAAACGTAGTTATAACAAGTTAAATTACTAAGATAGTATAAATTTGTAATGTATTGGTAACAGACACTTAGTAGGAAATTAATTTTCTTGTTATTTAAATGTGACTCACTTTTAATTGTAAAAATAATAAAAAAAAAAGGAAATTGATAATTCTTCTAAATCATTTATAAAAGTACAAATAGTATAAAAAAATTAATATTGGAGACATGTTTCAAGAAACAATTTCAATCATCTCACTAATTAAAGGATATCCAAAAATTATAATGCTTGCTTTGAATGTACTGTATTTAGGTTTTACTTTTATAATTTATACTTTTTAATTAATAATCAAATAAATGGATTTCAGTATTGAAATAATATGAAAAATATTAAAAGTAATTATATATTACTTTTAATATTTTTCATATTATTTCAATACTGAACTCTATTTATTTGATTACTTATATTTGCTGAATTACAGTAAATGAACCCTAGAACCAAAAAAAACTAACCTAACCTAACCAAAAAATAGAAGCTAATTGGATTACCTTATCCTATTCCAGGTGGTTACATTATAAAATTTGATTTCCAGCTATTTATTCCTTTTTAAAACTATCTCTTTCTGCAATTTTGCAATCTACTTACAAAAAGAAAGAAATGAAAAAAAGATACATTTAGCTGGATTTTTCACTGGAATACATGAAGTACAATTGAAGATTAAGGATAATAAAGAGAAGAGAAATTATGTATGCGCAACTTAAAACACTCAAAAGCAAAAATATTAAAGAATAAGACTGCCTTATGAAAAATTCATAATAAGTTTGTAAAAGATGTACAGGTATCATTGAGAAAAGAATCAGCAAGCCTGAAGATTATGAAACAATTATTTATATATGCTGTAGATATAGAATACAATCTTATGAACCATGATACACAACAAAATTATCTGGAAGATGGAATATGAATTGAGAAAGTTAAGACAGAACAGAAAACCCACTTTAGTAAAGTTAATAGAATATAAGAATGAGAAATAAGAGTATTAAAATATGTTTATGAATTCCATGTACAATGTATTGTGTAAAATACAATACATTATACATGGTTGGTTTAAAGAAATTTTTTAATATAAATGATAGGTTTATAATTTTTGCTATTATGATAATATAATATGATATATTCTTTAGAATTCAGAAGAAATGCATATTGTATTGCTATGAACAAAACATTATCTCAAAAATGTTTCAAATAAAACAAGCAATTATTTATTGTGACATTGCCACAATGGTGGGCTGCAATTTTTAATTAATTTAATTTAAAATGTATGCTTTCTACCTTCAAATTAATAGTGGCTTTCCCCTGTACATCATAATTTTCCTTTAACAATAGAGTCATGCCAGTTATCTGTCTAACATCTTTCAGGGAAAATTTTTGAATCAAAATAATGTGACTTCCAGTTTGCATCAGAAGTTCGTACATAGTTAATTGGGGCTTCCTGCCTCTAAGGTTTCCATATCTAGTCTCATCTTTCATCTACCTAATTCTGTTCTTGAGGTTAAGGAAAGACAGACAAACGACAGTGGGAATTTATATGTCTAAAATTTTTTCAAATTGCAGCTCAACAATTTTCTGACTTTATAATCAATGTTACATTGGTACTGTTATTTATATTGTTATTATCTGATATTTTATTTTTATTATTGCATATTACTTTTTAATTTTTATAATGGTTTGTTTATTAGTTTAAACAAATTTTAGATAATCTTACACCTAATTTTACTTATATTTATACAATCTAGTGATTAATTATTATTTACAAATTATTCTCACCTTCCAAAACATTTCCATTCTCAGTTTTGCATACACAAGATGTAGGTGTTAATAAATCTTCAATTACCATCTAAATAAAAGTTATACTTAAGAATTATTATTATTAATACTGAAATATTAAAAAACATATAATAAATACAAAAGTTTTCATTTTTAAAATCATACAAGATTGAATTATAAAAATTATTTCAAAAACTGTATTAATGTAAGTAATAAAACATCAGGACTGTGCCATAAGTTTGTATGTCAGTTTTCTTCTAACTGACAAGCGAGTGAAATTAAAGAAACAAGATTTTCAATGAAAACTTCCTATGAAGAGAAGTTACTGTTAAAAAAAATCAAGTCAATATACAAAGGCCACTCTAAAAGTAAAGAACATTTATTTCGCTAGATATTTTTATTTATGATAATGAAACAAAATTTATTTTACAACACACATGATACCTTAGCTATTTTTCTACGTAGTCACCATACAAATTTAAACATTTGTCATAGCATATCACCAGCTTTACTATGCCTTCTGCACACTCAGTTACCGCCAAGTTCTTGAACCAGCCATTAACAACCTCTTTCAGTTCATTGTCACTTCCATAGTGATTCCCAGCCAAAAAATCCTTCAATTTTGGGAAAAGATGGTAATCACTAGAGCCAAGTCCAGGCTATAAGGAGGATGTTCAAAAACTTCCCACTTAAACTGCTGAAGCAAGTTCTTCGTCAACACAACAGCATATGGACATGCATTATCGTGAAGAAGCACAATGCCTCTGGATGACAATCCCCGCTGTTTGTTTCGAACTGAAGCTTCATTCATCACATTACCATAAACCTCAGTTATTTGTCTGTAAATTTCGATAGGGCAGACATTTTTTGCATTCAAAAAACATATTACACTACGAACCTCACACTTGGCAGGATCTTTAATTTTGTTACACACTTCAAAGTCACACTATAAACAGTAAACAATCATTGCGGCTCCCTGTTAGTGTCAGACTGGCGTGAAAAAATGGGAAGGTCCATGACGCAGCAGTGGGGTGGGTGGTCGAAGAACTGTGCAGCTTGTGAGATCAAAACGTTCTTTTCTTTTAGAATGACCCTCATAACATAAATTAAATTTTTTATAAGGTCTCAAACTTCCTTCTGGCTTTTCTGTAAAATTGTTCAAAATTGACATACAACCTTCTGGCGTACACCCGACAAAATTTTCCAAAAATCACTAGCATACATTTAGCTAATTTTCCATCAAATACAATAGAATTCTGGACACACTGAAATACAAAAACTGTCAACAAATAGATTAGTGATATGATGTCTTTAATATTAAAGAATAATTAATTTATAAGTAATGATAGATTTTATAGTCAAAATGATGGTATTACAATGGGATTAATAATAAGACCAATTCTTGTGGAATTAAGTATGTCCAATATAGACCAAGCCGTTGTTAACATCAAAGGAATAATTGGTCTGTATCATTACATTGATGATTGTTTTTTGGTATATGATGATAATATAATACAAGCAAATTAGATCTTAAAGCAAGTAAATCAAAAGATGTAGACATCAAATTTGATCTGGAACCAGAAAGCAATTATCAATTACCGTTCTTAGATGTTTTAGTTATTAGACTCAAAGGCAAAATAATTTTTAAAAAATATAAAAAATCATGTACAATTGACAGTGTTATGCATTTTACTTCTTAGGTACCTAGATATATAAAGAAGAATGCTTTTTATATGTATATAGATAAAATCATACAAAGAACCACAAATAAAATGGATAAAATCACTGAAATTCAATAATTATAAAAATTCATGTAATGAAAGATTATAGCAAATGCATGATCACTAATTGGATTAATAACAGAAAAGAAAATACATAGAAATAACCAATAGATAATACACCTTATAAATTTTTTAAAATTAAATATGAAATAAATATTTTTGAAAGAATTAAAAATAAATAAAATAAATCAGGTATAATCTAGGTACCAAAACAAAATAATAGTTTAACAAGAGAAATAAATATACATAACAGTAAGTCAAACATATGAGATCAAAGAAATGTTATACATAAATTAGAATATATCTAAATTTTACATAGGAGAAACAGGCAGAGAATTAAAAGTCCGTTTCTGCCATTAAGAATAATAATAATAATTCAGCTGTAGCAATCCACTGCAATAAAGAAGGTGTCAAATAATAAAAGAAATGATTAAAATAATTATGACAAAATCAAATGCACTAAGACCCTGTTTAACATGGGATGCATTCCTAAACAACAAAGCGCTAAGTGAAACAGCGGTAAACAAGGTCATTTTTAACATAGATAAGGATAGGGGAACATGCGACCAAAAATAAACAAATTTTACTTTAATTTTAAGTTATTTTTATATTAATTTGCACACTAATATATGTTAAACAACACACAAACTTATGCACACAGAAATGTAAAGTTCATTTTTTTGTGACAAAGATCTTCACTTTTCTGAAATTCTTGTTTTTTTGCAATAAAGTCGTGAAGTTTCATTTGTTGATTTTTTCTTTCCTTAAGCAAATGTTGGTAGCAGAAAATCGTTACCAAAACACCTCGTTTTGCTTTAGCACTCCTTTCAAAATCTGGATCATTCGCTACAATTTGATCAATGATTTTGGTTATCTTACCAAACTTTTACTAAGGAAATCTATAGAGAAATTTTTTGGGTTCTTTGTTTTCAGAATCTCAATTTTCCAGTTCCACATGAATTCCGTTTTCTGACAATTCTTGAAGGTCGTCATTGGTAAGACTCTCACCAGAAACCTGCGGTAACTCCTCAATATCCTGTTCGTCTACATCTCCTAGTCCTGCTGTATCGATTAGGTTGCGTTTGATCAACCTAATGATACAGCAATAGGCTCTTCTCGTTGAGAGTTCTTGGATACCATCAGCCATAAATTCTTCCATATTCGTTCATGCATTTATCAGTTAATTCTTGCCAAGCGAAGTTGATATTTCCTATGGTATCCATGATGTTATATTTTTTCCAAAATTGCACAAAATAAATATAGATTTAAAGTAAGTACACCTTTTTGACACCTTTTGCTGATTGGTTTGTGTTTGCAAATAATCATATTATATACAAATGAATGAAATGCCAAGATAATTTAAATCAGCATAAATTTTGAGCTTTTTTTAGGCTTTGAGCAGACGGCGTTATGTTGAATTAGTGTTAAGCGAGGCAGCGTTAAGCGGGGTCTTACTGTACATATAAAAGAAGTTGGTATGAGCATTTAGAAATATTAAAAAAAAATTACAAATAACAATTCTGGCCAAAAATTGCATGAATCATGGTATGTATATCTGACAAGAGAAGATGTGGGGGAAGGGGTGTGTATAAATATGAGGAAAAAAGAGAAAGGTGGCACTAAACTGGTTGTAGTGGTGTTAATAAAAAGTTATTTAATGTACAGTGTATCATATTATTATAATGCTGTCTTTTATTCGTAATAGTTATAACAGTTGGTCAACTTGTAGCATTGCATATTGTTTTAATCATATTGCTCTAAACTTTGTTTTAGCATGTTTAATGTAAGTTTATAATTCTTATATTTTTTCTGGGTATTCAAATTGTTAACATTTTGTTAAAATTATAGTAAATACCTAATGATTGGATCTGTAAAAGACAATTTGCCAAATGTTGAGGTTCTATCTGTACATTTTGAAGTTGTAGATGTGTCAATTTCATGAAGATGTAAGTTATATTATGACCTAAATTTATAATGTTAATACAGCCTAATTTACATATGTTATGTTATTGTGAGATCCGAAAGGCCCCTGGGTCTAATTTATGAATTTTTATTAATATGTTTAAATTATCGACAAAATATTACTTCGTTTTTGTGAAAAAAATATTGTTTTAGACGTGGGAAAAACCAGATAACAAATGTTATTTCCTTTCATCGAAGAGAACATCCGCTGTTTTTCCCTTATCCGTTAAAAATCTCGCTCAGATGGGAAATGGTTACCCCTCATTCATCCCCCTTTCGTCCGTTCTCACGAAAGAGTTACTGAACGATGATTGGGCAAAATTTTGAAATAAAAGGAGAAATTAGTCAGAATTCGGAGAGTTCAGCGAGAGTTCTTCGACAGATCCGAAGCATCCAAACTCCACGCAGTTTTCCTCCTGATGGCCAACGCCCATAACGAAGTCCGATAGACTAAGTCCCGAGTCTACTCTTAGAAGAAGTGATAATTTTACAGTTTGTACAAGAATTAATCTCCCATATGAAAGAAAGATGAAACCTATCTACAAGGTGTCCTATAACTACAGAAACGAAGACGACAACTAACAGGTCGTATGTTTAGAATCATTTGTGAGCTCTCTCTCGAACGCGCATTAGCATAGATTCAGTCCTATTCTATAGCTTGTCGTATAATCATTGTATTTGGTTATTTGTATTCGTTTGTTTAGATTTATTAAATTTTACTTTTGTTTCTTATATAAAAATGTCTCTTAATTGGGTGTCCGAAACAGATCGCATACGCGTGTTAATCCGCGTTTAAAAAGTTTGATTAACTGGTGTCAAGGAATCCTGACGTAGATCCGAATCTCGCGATTTGGATCATTATAAAAAGCCCTCCTATAGGAACTTTTAGGATCGGATCTTACGATTCGAAACCTGGAGAACTAGTCTTACCGACTAGCGCCGATTAAGTGTTACACGAGTGTTACCTACTCCGTAACCCCGGCTGATCTCACATTATCATTAAAATAGTTGTAAAGAAGCTGATGAGGGACAGTAGGTCTGAAATGCATACATTTCTGGAAAATAAATTGATGTTCTAAGGCTGGTCTTGTGTCTAAAGACAGTGTAATAAGTCTAGGAATAAAGAGGCTATCATAGTGCTCACAAGTAAATTTTCCTTTCTTTTAACAATTTTTTTTTCAATTGTGCTAACTAAATTAATAAGCAAAAATAAAAATTCTTTATTATTACTAGTACTAATAATTTGGCTTCTTTAGATTAATCAGAAATTGCTCAGAATTTGTGTTACTCCATAAAAAGCAAATTTATAAAGTTTCTTGTCTTTAAAAAGCTTCTTTCAATGATCTTTGGTGAATTTCTCATAACATAATAATTTGCATCATCATCACATATTATGGCTTTTTGTTTTATAAGAAGTTTATTTATTTATTGTGATTACACCCAAATTTAACATATAACAGGGCAACTATTTTGATTATTTTTATGCAACTGATCATACAAATATATAAGTTTCATTAAAACATAAAATGCAAAGTAAAGTGAATAAATAAATAAATACAGTAGAGCGTCGATTATTCGAAAGTCAATTATCTGAAAGAATTGCAGTCGGCAAATTTAAATTTTTGCCAGTGCTGTGGCGCTGCAATCTTTGGCTATGTCTTGGGCTACTCAAATATTTTACGTTTTTGATACTAAATTAACTTCTGAAGTACAATTTTTTATTGTTTTTATATTTTTCAATATATTTATTTTGTTTGTACAAAATAAAGAAATAATTTTTAATGATACAATAGTCACAATTATTATTTTAAGAAGTTTATGTTAGGCTTAACATTGACGAAAATTCAACGCAAAGCGACACACAACGGAGAAAAATTTCAACATGGGATAGGTTAATATATTTTTTCGTACATAATCGGTTATCTGAAATATCGATTTTCCGAACAACCTCAGTCCCCAATTGATTCAGATAATCGATGCTCTACTGTAAATAAATAAATATACAGTACAGTCATATCCTGTTATCAAAAATTAAATTCATTCCCAAAAATAATTTAAATATTGAAAAGTATTTTCATTATTTCTACAGAAAAAAATTCTAACTTCTCCCTGATCCACTTTCCCCACTTCCACCATCCACAAAGCACTGAAAAACACCTAGTTACCTATCAATCCACTTCTGGAATGATCTTAGCATGATATTAAATATTACAAACTCCAATTATTTTACTCACAAACGTTTAATGAGTTCATTAATAAACATGTTTATAAGCAGTAACATAACAAGTTTGTATAATACACACTATTATGAATTGGATATAGAGTGTGTTTTCTTTAATATGCAATAGATAGTAATGAAAATAAATAAAGTAGTAAATTTATTCTATTAAACTGTTAGGAATAAGCTTGTAAGATTTACTAAAATTTTGTGATAGAAATCATTAAACTGCACTAGTGTACTGATAATGCTACTGAAATAAATGAAAACAGACTAGAAACAGAGTCACTCCCACTTTTCATGTCTGTTAATGTCATTTTCAAATTTTGCATAAATGAGTTTTTGAATAAATTTATATCATCAAAACTATTTGATTAAAATATAGAATTGGATATTAAATAATAATATTTATTGTAGAGGAAGTTTAGATACAAGGATTTAGATACTAGGATATGGTTGTATAATATAATTAAAGATATTTATAAGTAAAGTACCTTAGTATTGAAGTATTTTCCATTTTTGAAGTTTTTATCTACAAATCTTACTCTTAATAGAGGCATCACCCATGACTCAGTTGGAATTTCCTTTTCTTCATTATAACTATATTAAATAATTCAAAAATTTAATTAAATTAAAATTTCATACAACTATAAGATATATACAACTATTATGAAATCATAAAGTTTAATTATTTGTACTTATAAAATTATAAACGAAAAAAATAAAAAACACTGTTTCAAAAAGAATCACCATTCTGCAATACAATTTTAAAAACTACAGATGAGATTTGTTTATCTCAGTGTTTCTCAACCTCTTAACGAATTGTCATCCCCTTCACTTCAAAATTGCCTAGGGCCAAGGCTAACGCCAAATTCGTACTGCATTGAATAGACTAGTGACTAGTGTAATGTTATTCGTTTAATTATTGTATGATATAACGAATAAAATATCTAATTATTCTTACTATATTGTTTTACTATATCGCCCAGAAAATTGTTTTTCGTCCCCAAAAATATAAATTGTTACTAATTGCCCCCTCAACATGGAAAAACTCCCATATGGGGGCGATATTGCCCCCATTGAGAAACACTGGTTTATCTCTTAAAATTAGTATACTGTATAACTTTTTAAAAAGTTTCTATTGCCTATAAAGTATTTTTATTTGTATTATATTAATATGGATAAGAAAAACTACAAGAACAAAATAAAATCATAAAAATAAATATAAGTATCAGGTAAATTCAAATATTTTAAAAAGTTAATTGTAAAAAATTAAAATATCTTGTAAATAATTATTTACTTATTAATACAATCTTGATTTCTAATTGCTTTTCAAACAATCAAATATAATTATATATTTCTCTAAAAATGAGTATAATTTTTTAATATTTAAATTAGTTTACATTGAAATGTTTCTGTTCATACTTTTTATTATTAATTTTTATTAATCATATTCCAATTCTTTATTAATATAAATACAGTAAGACCCTGCTTAACACAGGGGATGTGTTCCTAGATGACAAAGCACTAAACGAAACAGCGTTAAACGAGGTCATTTTAACAATAGAGTAAATAGGGATAGGGGAACACGCAACCAAAATTAAACAAATTTTACTTTAAGTTATTTTTATATTAATTTGTGCAATAATTTATGTTAAATAACATATGCACACAAAAATGTATAATAATATATTAATAGTTCATTTTTTGTGACAAAGGTCATGACANAATATTACTTTAAGTTATTTTTATATTAATTTGTGCAATAATTTATGTTAAATAACATATGCACACAAAAATGTATAATAATATATTAATAGTTCATTTTTTGTGACAAAGGTCATGACTTTTCTGAAATTCTTTTTTTTTTCTTTTTTGCAATAGTCATGAAGTTTCATTTGTTGCTTTTTTCTTTCCTTAAGCAAATGTCGGTAGCAGAAGATCGCATCCAAAACACCTGTCTTGCTTTTGCACTCTTTTCAAAATCTAGATCATTCGCTACAATTTGATTAACAATTTCAGTTATCGTTACCAAAGTTACTAAGGAAATCTGTAGAGAAATTTTTTATGTTCTTTGATTTCAGAATCACTATTTTCCAGTTCTACTTGAATTCTTTGTTCTGCCAGTTCTTGAAGGTCGTCATTGGTAAGATTCTCACCAGAAACCTTGCAGTAACTCCTCAATATCTACATCTCCTAGTCCTGCTGTATTGATTAGGTTGAGTTTGATCAACCTAACGATAGTGAGAGGCTCTTCTCGTTGAGAATTCTTGGATACCTTCAGCCATAACTTCTTCCACACTTCATTCATGCATTTATCAGTTAATTCTTGCCAAGTAACATTGATGTTGCATCCATGATGTTATATTTTTTCCAAAATTGCACCAAAGAAACATAGATTTAAAGAAAGTACACCTTTATTGCCACTTTTTTCTGATTTATTCGTGTTCGTCAATAATCGTATTATGTATGGATCAATAAAATGCCACGATAATTTAAATCAGCGTAAAGTTTGATCTTCTTTTTAGGCTTCAAGCAGACGATGTTATATCGAATCAGTGTTAAGCGAGGCAGCATTAAGCGGGGTCTTACTGTAACTTTAAATATTATAAAATTTTATCATGTTAATCACAAAATCTTCACAAAAGTAGTTATTTTGAGTATTTGAGAATATAATTAATCAATAAAAGTTATTTCTTATTTTATATAAAAACCAATAGTGATTACCACATTTTCCACCTTATAAGATACATCTTTAATTTAGCAAAAATTATATACGAAAGAAACAATAGTAACATTTTTGAGAAACTCGGTAACAGAAGGCATTCTTTTATCCTAGATAATTTACAGAAGTATGTTGTGGTTAATAATTTTAACAGTCTTGATATAATCTCATTGATTAAAAAAAGTTATGCATAAAGGAAGAAGCATTGGAATCAAATAAACTTTTATTAGTGTGAATAAAATGATAATGGTCAAAAGTGATAACAATATCTTACAAAAGGGATAATTTCTTATGCAAGAATGATAAAATTTAAACAAATGTTTAGTACCTTATAGCATCTACTTTGACCTAGATACGTGTGGATAAACAGTTTAGCAAGGAAACACACAATACAGTGCACTATCCTGCAACAGATTTACCTACAAATATTACAACTACTGCTTCAGTTACTTCACATTTGTAGATGGCTGAAGTGGGTGTCCCATCTGTTCCCACAAATGCTCAATAAGCAACAAATATAGAAACCAAACAGACCAAGTGTGACAATGTAATAGAAATATTCCAGTGTGACCAGGCATTTTACTGGAAAATGGCTGTTTGCAGCTCTGCTATTAAATGCAACACTTGAGAACACAGGATTTCCATACATACCTGTAATATTATCAATATTCTTCATATCATTATTAGGGATGACTGACTGTCATTCAAGAAGCTCTCCAGATTTACACACTGCTAATGGTTGTCTGCTAATGGGAAGAGACAGTGCTCTATAGCAAGGTTTCCACATGTTTCTGGATAATGGACAAAGATGCCATTACAGTTGTTGTTGTTTGTCACACAATCAGACAATCATCTTTCTTGGTAATTTGTATGGAGTTTCCAGAGACTGTCTGATCATGTATGTGTGCCTCATGTATCCACTGTTCCAACACAATATGGTCAGAACACCCCAGATGGTAAGCTAATTTGGCAAAACAACCATCCAGCTTCTCTTAGCCTGATGATGTAGCCTTTCTTAAACTCCACTAGCTATGCAAAATGTCTTTCACTGTCTTGGACAGGCATGACTAGCATTTGAAGATCTTCAAAAAAACATATATACTGAAATTTCTGAACACAATGAGCTTCTGCAAGCTTTTTTATAAAATAGATGATTTTAAGGCTCTACTACCTGATATGCAATCATACCAAAATTTTAATTATCAATGTTTACCTGTCTGATATATAGCTGTAGGCTAAGTTTTCAGTAGTCAGACAATTCTATCTAGATGCATAACTTTTTTGTCAATGAATATATTAAAATGAACAATTTACAATGTGCATGATGTATCAAATTGATATAATGCATCCGATGGAAGGTTGAACAACATTATTAGTAATGAGACAATTAATCAGAATTGGAATCAAAAAAATCTCATCATGATTTCCAATTCTAAAAATAATTCTTCCATATTTTATGAAAAAATTAATTATTTGTATCAGTCAAAGATTAAAAATTTTCAAAAATTTACAAATATTAACAATTAAGTATTTAGTTTATTGCAAACTCATGTTGACAAAGCAGAGAGTATGCAATGGTCCATACACAAGTGATGTCTGTCACAGTAGACTTTTCTTTTGTGTAGTCAGAGTGATGAGAGTACTAATTGACCCCATTTCAGGGGAGAGAGGGTGATTGCCATCCAGCCAGCATTGGGTCAAATGACCAACTATCTGAATTCTGTATATAATATATATTAAAAGCAAAATGTTCTATCACCAATGCTCACAAGTAATATAAATTTAAAAATGAATTTAATTTACAATTTGAAAATTTTGAAACAACTTTTACGTGGTTTTTAAAAACATTGTTTTAATTTCAATTGATTTGATTTTAGTGTAATAGCCAGAGTTTTAATAACTATTTTATTATTTTTTAAATTTAATTATTATTTTTATTTATTTAATTTTGCCTTCATTTTTTGAATCCTTAATAATTAAAATTTTTAAATTAAATGCAGCTCTTTTTTTCTTCTGCGACATTACTATAGAAACCATTTTAGTGTTGTTTCACACAAAAAAATAATCAAATTTAAATTTATTTGAATTTTTTTAGTAATTTTGTAAATTTTTGTTCATAAATTTGCCTGATTTCAAAAAATTTTAATTATAAGCAAGTTAACATTGATTGAACTATTGGGCTATCTAGTTTCAATTCAAGGCTGGCAGTTGGCAAAAATATTGAAGTTAAGTATTGGCAAAATGGTTTAAAATGTAAACAATATTATATTTCAAGTGAAAAATATTATATAAAATTTATTTTTAATATTTAGTATATTTATTTATAATGACAAAATGACTTTCTCATTATAATTATGAAAGTTTTTGTTATATTCACAGATGATGCTGTAATATGTTAAATTTCCAAATGCAATTCATGCAATTCTGAGTAAAAATACTTGTTCATACTAAGTTTAACGCTGTTTTGAATTCTAAAACTTGATTTTTAAGATGAGTCAGCCTAGATTTCACTCATGGCTCAAATGAATTTGATTTGATTTGATTCATTTTACTTTCTATAACTTTATAAAAAGTTATTTTTAGAACTAAGATGAACAACAAAAAAAAAAAACATTTTGGTTTCAACTTTCTAAGAAATAATTCACATTTGGAAATGCCTAACAAGCAAAAATTTCAAAGATCTTCAGCTGTTGATTTTGAGCACATCATTTACAAAATGTTATAAATTGATTTAAAAAAAATGTCATGGGTATCAAATGCTATTTCAATACTATGAATGAATAAATAGAACAAATCCAGTTTCCAAAATATTTTTACATGTAGAAACTTACTCTAATTTAACAAAAACCAAGAATTAAACAATCAAAATCACAAAAATTATACATATTAAAAAATTACCTCTTATTTTCAGGTGAATGCCGTCGTCTTTTGATTTTTTCTTCTGTGTACTTATCTCTAGGCCTTTCTTGTCTATCATTATTTCTACTTGAATTTCTTGGTTTATGTTCTTTTTTCACATCATGATATTTTTCTTCAACTAACTTGTTTTTGTGTTCTTCATACTTTCTTTTATCTGTAGGATAAAAATTTATAGTAAACAATGGTTTCATATAAGACTTGTTCAATCATTTTACATATAATTTGTCACTATCCAACATGTAAAAACTAATATATAAATAATATATTTTATAAGATATAAATCATGTCTGTCTGTCAAAAAAAGTTAAGATTCAGGAAAAAATTTGATTTATCTAACTAAAAATTTGCAGATTTATTATCAATTTTACATTAAATAAAATTGATACTAAATCTGAAAATGTTTAGTGTTACATGTTTTAACTATTTAACTACTAATAAATACTAATTAATCACTTAAGTTTTTTCAAATTTTAAGAATAAAAGTTATCATAAGAAATGAGAAAAATGAAGTTACTGAAAAGTAGGCATGGCTAAAAATTTTTTGTTAAGAAATGACAATTTAAAATGTGCATGATGTATCAAATTGATATAATGCATCCGATGGAAGGTTAAACAACATTTATGACAGAAATTTTTAATGGCATGGCTGATTGAAGGGGAAAATGAAATATTTGTGAACATTCTTTTAATACATTTACAAACAAAATTAAACATTTTTTTGAATTTCATAAAAAACACTTTTTTATATTCTATGATTCTATTACACTTGAATAAAGGATTGAATAGTATGTCAAAAACAAAACAAAACCACAATATTCTAATATACAGGTTGATCAAAAAATCCCTGTGTATCTAAATTACAAACAACACAATGATGATGCACAGTGATTTTTTGTTCATTTTATATAATCAAATGTTTAGTTTTATGATCTTTCCCTTAAAGTTTTTAACTATATTCAATAACAAATTATTATTTAAATGTCATATTGATACGTTAGTTAAAGCTTTACTAATATATTGTGGCATCCTGTGGCAGTTTTGTTGTACTGTTTCCTCCAAGACTATTTTACAATTTTTTTTTTTGTAATTTTCAATCAAAAAACAATTCACCAATGAATAAAACATATTTGTCGTTAAACAAATTTTGTCATTTACCAAGCACTACTATTCCTATATACAGCCAGGATTAAAATAACCTTACCTACCTATTCTTAAAGAGTTAAATACTTAATGGGTATATTTTATCTGATTGGTTGTACCTAAGAATATCTTCTAGAAGCATCCACTTATCATGTATTCATGTTTGTTTCCTCGTTTAAAAATAACTCATAAGTTATTTTTTATCATGTAGCAAATAGTTTGACAAATATAGAACATATGCTTCTCCTTGAATATTCACAATATAAAAATTTTGTATAAGTATGCTTTATAATTCTTAAATATTATTTGAAATTTTATTCTTTATCATCTGCATTTGGAATTTTTATTGGTTTGGAGGATGGAAATCAAATGTTATATAATTATAAATGTTCCTGAATTATAAGAAATTTGCACATTATAAATGTTAATATAAATACAGAAAGAGAAATTTAAAATTTTTAAAAGCACAAACTTACATCTAAACTTCTATAAGCCTTTGACTCAATAATTATTATTTTAATTATAACTGCATTCAAAATAAAGCATTATTTTCTTAATTTATGTAGTAAATTCTTGTACAAAAAAGATTACACTACTCAACAAATGAAAAAAATTTACGTGACTAATATTAGAGAGAGTGTTTAGCGGTCTATAAAGCATCCTTTTTACGAATATGGCAAGCATAACTTTTTATATATTGAGTTCTAAAATATAATTATTTTTATTTATTGTAAATATAGGAAAAAAATAGGAGTGAAATTCAACTTATATCAAACCAAAAAAATTGTTTCATTTACAAAAATATATATGAAATTACATTTATGGCCAATATGCCGTTGATAACTTTTTTGCAAATGCTGATTTTCATTTATATTTCATATTACTCTCTCTCATAATGAACCAGCAATAGTCTCCCATCACTGCAGGATCTCACCAGGATATCACTGTTAGAATATCTTGGTGGAACTTCTCCCCTTGCTCATCACTGATGATACCCAAACTTTCAGGGAAAAGATTTAAATGCGAATGTAAAAAAAATAGTTTAAGAGACATTCCACAATCCATTTTATTGTAGTTTGAGTAATTCTCCTTTGTGTATTTTTTGTAGTTTTCTGTTTATCTCTTGCCCAAAAATTGCTATAACTCCTTTTAAAAGATGTCCTTGCACTTAGTTCAATGTCATTCAATTTTTAAGCAAACTGTGCATCCTGAAGTAATTTTAGCTTAGTATCACTTAGTTTTGAAAAAAATCTGTTTAAGGTATTTGAAAACAGTACATATTTTATCCATTGCTTTGATGAAGGTTTTTATTAATCCAAGTTTTATATGCAGTGGGGTATCACAACATTTTTGAGATCAACTAGAGCAGAGGTGGTGAACCTATGGCACGCGTGCCCAAAAGTGGCTCATCGAAGAAATCATCCAGCACGTAATGTATTATACAATATTGGTTTATTATCTTTTTCAATCAGGTTCTTTACATTTACTCTAATTATAGCATATTATTTTATTTATTTAAATATAATATTTTAAAACTCTTTTTGCCCTGTGGTCACTAAGAGGGCTTTTTTATTTAGCTAACTCCAAATGGAACAGTCGGATGGTGAAGAATAAATCACCACCTGAAAATTTTCTGGGGTTTTGATCTCAGGTCCACAAGAGCGATAAGCTACCACTTTGACCGCTTGGCCCTTCGGCCAAATTTAAATATAGTTACTAGAAGTCTAAAACTTCTGCATGCATAATCATTTTTAAAGAAAAGTATGCTTAATATGCTTACTATGTGGCATGCAGACTCAAAAAGGTTCGCCATCCCTGAACTAGAGCAATGATTCACAAACTTTTTTGAGCTGCTGTCCCCTGGTTCCATAAACTTTTACCCAATGTCTCCAACTGTATCCCCAGTGCCCCTAACCCATTTTCTCTTGTGTGAGAAAGACTTGGAAATATTCTTAGAAAAACTTTTCTATGAACCTCATACTTTGTCTTTACTGTACATTGTTCACGATGTCTGGAAACAAATATAATGTTTCTTCTCACCTGTTTTAATGGATGAAAGTCACTGTTCAGTCAGGACCTTGATCCTAGTAACCCTTAGATTATAAATTTACTTACCCCAGCAGACAGCAGCATTACTTTGGAAATCCTTGAACTAGAGGTATATTCTTTACGTTAGCATGACCTGAACAAATTCATCTCTCTGAGGCCATTATTTTACTTTAAAATGATTTTGTGTTGCTTTACTATTCCAAAGACAAAGAAAACAACAGTATTTGGTAAAACCATCCTGAAGTTCCAGTAAAGCCCTATAGTCTGCACATATCAGTATTTTAAAATTAAGTCTCTGCATCATGTATTTTAAAATTTGTTAAGATCACAACTTGAAAATTTTACATACCAGAGAATTTTTAACTTCATTTTTGTGTTCAGCACAGAGGAACTAACAAAAAAAATACTTTATTCCCACAGTTGCAAAATGGCTGTAAACTAATGTTATCAACATTAAAAATAACAAATTGAGTATATTAAACTGTTTTAATTCTGCAGAGACTCTAACAAGTTAATCAATTATAACTGATCTAAATAATATTATTTAATTGAAAAATTATAGAAGACAAGCAGAGAAAAATACAGACAATAAACTTTTTATTAAATGCATTATAATTCTTTACAATAATAAAAACAAATTTAATAATAATATCATCTGTAAAAACAATAAATATATTCTATTTCTATTTAGATAAAAAATATTGATAATAAGTAATAATAAACATAATGATAAAAATAGAACCTTTATGAACAAATGGAAGGAATAAAAGCACAATTAATACAATTTATCATTCATTTCAATTTTTAAAATGGACATAAGCTAGAAATTCTTTCACAAACTTTTTAAAACTGGTTTAAGAGAGGCAAGGTTATATAGCAACACTAGATTATTAAACAACTATTTTGAACAAATCATATACATCTCCAAAATTTCATTCTTCTTATCAAACTCCATTAATAAAAAACAAAAGAATAAGTTAATTATTGAATTTAATAAATTGTAAATTTTATAACAGCAATATTAGATTAATATAAATTACTTAATGCTTATTATCATTATAATGAAATGATGTTTTCACATTTCATTAAAATATTTCTCACAATTCAAATACAGAATATATTTAGAATGGTTGCAGTATAAATGATTGTTTAATTTAATATTCATGTAAACTTCCAGTAATAATTTGGAACAATGTAAAATTTTATCTGAAAAATTGAAAGTAAAATATATTTCAATTACATTTTAAATATCTTTTTTTATATTACTATTTTGAAGATATCGCTCAATATAAAAGATTTAAATTTAATATCAGCAAATCATTTTGGTTGAAATTTATATTCAATAATGTTAAAATGAAACAAGTTTTTTAATGAATTAAGTTATCTGACAAGAAAAGTACGAGATACATGAAAATCTACAAATACACACAAAAAATCAGAAATCATTACTGAAAATTAGGATGCAGAAAATGTGATTTTATTCAAAGATAATATAAAAAAAATTAATCAGGATAGTATTTGCCATTGTTGGTTATGATCCAGGACCAGCATACGACCAACTTTTGAATTGTCCAGCTCAAACAAAGAAGTTGCCCACATCTTTTTTTTTTTTGCAGCAGATGGTCTACGCAGCATTTGATCACCAAAATGATTTTGCAGACTCCAAAACATGTAAAAATCTAGGGGACAAGGTCCAACAAATAAGGAGCATAATCAATGATTTCCCAGCCCTTCTGCTGCAAGCAATGAATTGTCTTCTTTGTTGTATGTTGGTTTAGCATTATCCTGATGGAATAAAACTTTCTTCTAGTTGGCCAACAATGAGTAAACTTTGCCAACTGTAGCCTTAGTTATCAAGCTTATCACAGTAACTGTTGCTGTTGATTCTTTTGCCTAAGAGTATGTAGGTGATGATAAATGATACCATGACAATCACAGAACATAACATCTTGTTGCTCAAAGTTCTTTAAGACTTGTGGGTGGTTGTTCACTGGTCATTACATAAGCACCTCAGGTCATAGTAAATCCACTGCTTGTTGCAGGTCACAAGACAACTGAAGAAGGCATAATAGTAAGAATGCACATGAATAAGTAATGAAGAAGGCACAAATAATAATCAATCTGGGATCAATTCAGAGGTGATGCAAACTTGGAAATATGGTCATGCATGTTATGCTCAATCAGAATCTGCAGCATACACCTGCTACTTGTGTACTTGATGCTCAGTCACTTCAGCACCTTTCAAGCTGAGCACTGTTAGCTTCTGAATTGGGCATTATTCAGCTATCTCTTTCTGTATGAATCAGGTATTTGCAGTAACCAGCTGCCTCACCAGATCACCACTAATGATCCAGAGTGTGACTTGTCATCAGTGCTGTTGCCTCCAAAAATGAACAAAACAATTTTTGATATTGCACTAAAATGATCCATCATCATTGTAAATTTTTGCCATATTTTCAAAAGGCTGCTTCATAGAGGATAATTCGAAACTCTGAGAGACCAATGATCATCTTTTCACTGATTTTTCCTCTTATTTTTGTGAACTTTTTGAAACTTGAACAGACTCAGAACATAGTTTCATTACACTAGTTTAGAAAGTTTATATTTTGAGCTACTAGCCAATAAATTTTTAAAAATTCTTATCCTAATGTGCCTACAGGCATTTTTGTAAATGCCTTTTTTTTCTCAGAAACAACTTTCAGATTGACCTGATATTTTCAGCAAGTATAATTAAGATCTTTCAATACATGTATAAGGATTTGTGGATTTTCCTACACAAAAAAAATTTATAAAATCAAATTTTGATGAATCCAAAAAATAAACAGCAAGTTTAAAATCATTGTCAAATAAAATATTTATATAATAGCAAAAAATATGTTTAATTAATAATCCAAACAATCCAATAGGAAAAAATTTCAACAATTTTCAATAAAATTCATTTTAATTGTATATTACAACAATGAACAGTAAACACTAGAAAAAAATCAATGAATAATAATTATGAAATTCTAGATCACAAATAGTATCAAGCAAAAAATTTTTATTCTATAAATAAGATTTAACCATTATTAAACTGACAAAGAATTTGAGAGAGACTTCATTCATTTAAGCAATTTGACAAGATGAACTATAAATTAAATTACATAACAAAAATATTATTATAATTAACTTACATTAATAAGGTTAAAATGTGGAACGGCGTGCCTGAAACAGAACCTGGCGCCAAAGTTGATGAGCTTGGCCGGCTCCAAATCGGCACGTTTGAACTAAACAGAAATCATGTAGAATATAAGAAAACAGTAATCATAAATTATGAGAGAATAATTTTAATACTGCACATTACTTATTGCTACTTATATCATGTATACCATGCGAGTTGATATAAACAGTAATGATACCCTGTTTTATATATTCTACATGTTTTACTTATAAAAATATTGATCCATTTTATCAATGCTAACATTCCATTTAATTTAAATACAATATATTCAAACATTAGATGATTTTAATTATTTGTATTTATTTATATTTAAGCATAATCATAATAAATCTTTGAATACAACTACATTTGTGTATTTTTTAAAAATTAAAATGTGTTTTTTAATTATCAAAAACAATTAAAATGTCTTGATTTTGAAATGCCATATTTGGATATTTATATATGTTACCGCTAAAGCTCGAAATCCGTTAATGTTCAGATTACCTAGCTAATCTGCAGATTAACTAGGGTGATCCGTTAAAGTTGCTAAAATTGTTCTATATCTCAAATTACCTAGGTAATTTTAGACTTTTTTAAATTGATTGATGATTGATTCAATCAACTAATTTGTTAATTGTTTGATTGTATTAACTTGATTCTTTAGATATTGAAAATTAAATAAATAACATTATGTTAATTTAAGCGTACAGAAACGTTGCTGTTGTTCCAGCAAAAATCTTATTTTCACTTTACCGAGTGCCTAGTAGGTAATTTGCAGATT